TCCCTCTAACGTGCATATTCTTGAATTTATCAACATCATCTGCTATGCTTCCCTTTTACCTGTGCATATTCTTGAATTTATCAACATCATCTGCTATGCTTCCCTTTTACCCAGATTTCTTGGATACCCTTTATAATTTCTCAGTCTTCTTCAGTCTTGCCTAATCCAAATACTTTTGCATCATTAGCAAGTTTTGGCACACCATCATTCATCTAGTTTATTAGATCACCAACATACACGTTCACCACCCTCTTTTCAGAGTTGTTTCTACATCACATGGTAATTTAAGGTTTACATTGTTAATGACAAAAAAATAGTCTTAGTCATAAGAAAAAGTACACTCTTTGAGAACTAGAAAGCAGAGCTGCAGTTTCCAAAAGACTGGGTTGGTTTTAAGCAAAGCTCAGTATCTAAACTCTTCACATGAGCAGAATGCAAGCAGCTACCATGTCTACAGGACATCAGAGGTGAGCTGTAGATCCTTGTTTTCTTCCTCCCAGGACATCACCCATCCAACATGTCACATACCTGACTCCCTCCAGAAAAATCCTTTGGTTAGAAATCCTTGTTAATGTTACCTAAATTTATGCTTAATTAGTGCTAAGCCTATAGTGCCTTAGGTATTTTCAGAAGTTGCTCATATACAGTTGACTATAATATGTACAACTGCTTATTACAGCAGCAATGATGGAGGGAAATATATTTTAAAACAAATACGCACATTCCTTTTACATGCTTTGTGCTGCATCATAGTCTCACATCCTTAATTCCAGATGGCACTTTTAGCACAGATTTACTGACCTTGAGAAGTACTTTAAAGAGCAATCTTAAAGCCTTCTTTACTTTCCTCTGCATCTAAAGGCAAAAATACCAATCAACATCATTCAGATGGCAAGGCATTGTATTTGCATAGTTACATTACCTTTATTTGACCACAATCTAATCTTGCAAAATAAAGCTAGGCCAAATTTCATTACATTATGCATGGACACTGAAAGCTGAAGACAGTGAAAACAAAATGCTCTTAATGCTTCAAACTTTCACATTAAGTCATCCTTGAATTCTATAAATTTGCTTTAACAATGTATTTCATTACATGTTAACAAGTAAAAAACAGATCTAGCTAGTGAAAATCATTCTCATTAATTCAAAAGAAAAATAGCTCAACTGTGCTATCTTAAAGGAAACAGTAAAACCTGTACTAAGCTTTCTTGACTAACAAAGCATCAGCTGTGAATAAACAGATTAAAATTGCCTAAAGGTTTATTTGAACAGCAGAGGTGCAGGCAGAAGAAAAAGATAGTATGTACGCATCTAACAGGAAATCCAAATCTGATTTTAATCTAAAAAATAATAACATCAATAACAATTTTGATTCCCCATATATTTAAGATAAGCTGTACCTTGTTCTATATTTTAGCTTAAAAATTTCCAGCAAGCTCCATTTTTATGTTCTGGTTGCTTATTATGACAAAACCAGATGTTTCAATTATAAACACCATTTTGTAGGGTGGCTTTACAACAACAAAAAACAAACCAAAACAAAATACTCTCCCCCAAAACTGGATAGTCAAGCCAAATACCACCAAGATACAGAAAAAAAAGAAAATAACCATCCCAATAACATAATCAACCCAACAATAAAGATATAGTGTTACTGCCTCAAAATCACACTATTTCACAAAAGAGATGAAGAATAAGTCTGCAAAACCTCCAGAAATTGATAAAGCAGCTGTTAGCTTTTGGACGCTTGGACATTTGACTCATTGAACCTTTCATGTTACAGGGTTCTCCTCGTTCCCTCCTACAGGCCAGGGGAAAGAAGAAAGGGGAAGAGTTACCGACTGCAGTTCCTGCTCCTGGGGCTATTTCCACGTTTGTGAGGAGCTCTATTCCTTCAGAGCGTGTGAGATGTCTCCTTACAGATCACCTCCTCAGCTCCAAGCACACAGCAAGCCAGAAGGCCTTTGGCAGAAGATGGGCACCTACACAGGACAGGCTACACTTGCTCTGGACACGAACCAGATCCAGCACAACCACAGGCAGCTACGAGTGCCCACTGGGTTCTGTGGTCTCCTTGCACTAGACGCACAGTGGAACCAAAACCATACTTTTATCATGACCTTGGACTTCAGCTCAGGTCTACCTCAGTTCCTTTAGGATCTAGTCTTTATTTTTTGTTTTTTAATATATTTTTTAAAACCATCTAAGAGGTAGGGTCAGCAGCTTCCACAGAGAATAGAGAACCGGTAGATTTAAAAAATTGAACCAGACCTCTTCGCATAAAATTTCAGAGAATCTTGTGCAGATGCATACTCCGCACAGGAGGAACATCGACAGGGTAATGGTTTGTTTTCACAGACCAGAAGCTGTTCCTGTGGAACTCCACAAAGTTTAATAGGCCAAGACACACTGCACTTCACAATGTACTTAGACATAAAAAGAATTTTATGGCATCTGGTCAGCATAAAAGTTAAGCCTGTATTGAAATCTTCTTGTAATTGAGCTGGATGCACATGCACATATTGCATACTAAGTATTATAGCCTGGCTCCTGCAAAGACTTGTATACTTTTTTATTATTATGTATATAAAAGAAATTCTGTGATTTCAAAAGCACTATTCATGAATGCTAATTTAAGCACATGGGTGGGTCTTTGCAGGACTAGGACCCATATGCTACCAAGCGGCACTGCCTGCTAAAAACTTCTTACCTTTGTATACTACCAGCAGTTTATAAAACCCCCTCAGCTTACTAACCCTTGCAACAGAGGACTTGCTTCCAGTTGAGGAGCTGGATTTCAAGAACACTTTGCACACTGCATATATCTCTAATAAACTTAAATCCAGATTCAAATGGGCTACTTAAGTAACATTTAACCAAATGCAGCCTCACTGGTTATGAAGAGAAACAGAATGAAGAGCAGCTCCTTTGGCTGTAGTGGTACAAAAACATAGAAAAAGGAAACTATAGAGTGACCAGAAGTATGTAGACAATTTTTTTTTTTTATACTAAATACTTTCTCCAAGATTGGAGGAGCCACTGGTGGCCAAGGCAACTTGCTAAGTGTACAAAAGCAGATGTATTTCACAGAAAGCCCTCCTATACCTAAGTTATGATAACTGACTCACGGGCTTCTGCTGGACAAGAAAGACCAGGAGAAAAGTCAGTCATTAGTATTAACATTGGCTGATAATTAACCCTCATGAACAACACTACACCAAAGCTACTTGTGCTACTATTACAGAAACATTTAAAAGACACATTTAAAACTAAGTATAACGTACACGAAAAGCTCAGTTTGCTTAGTACAGACGTGAGTCCCACAGCCCTTGCGCTGGCCTTGATCTGCACCACCAGACCCTCTGAGGTTGCAGAGACAGTTGTGCTTTCAAGCTTCTTGCACACAAACGCAGTGGTGGAATTGATCACCACAAGCTCTGCCACAGATTTTGGGGACTACCTGTTAGCTGACAGGCTGTGCTTCAAACCATAAGTTTGCAATGCTCCCAACCTTTGTATCACGACCATTAGATACACACAAGTGCCCTCTGCCTGTAAGCAACTCTGGCACAGCCTCCTACAGAAAGCAAAAAAAGTACAAGAAAGTACTGCCAATAACAGAACAGGGCCTAGAGCTTATTTGCATTACTATAATATCAACACACGCTTTATTTTACACCACGTAACAAGTACTAGATGTCAGCTACAGGCCCCCCAGAGGGCAAGAGCAAAAGCTGTATAATCTGTATTTTCTCACTCGTATTTGATGGGACCTTCTCAGCTGGATAAGCAGAGTGCAGTCCCTGCCGGGACTGCCTCCCCTCGCAGCTCTCTCCAAAAAGACCTGACTACCTTCTCTCCATGATATGGAGACTGGCAGGTGGTGACTTGTGATTTGGGGGGAGCCATTTTATATGCATATTTTTCCAAACGCTAAAGAGCTTCATGATATAACAGTGCTTTCAGAATAACCCAACCCAGTAGTGATTATCTTCCCAGAGTTTTAAGAAAAAAGAACTGGCTTCTGGTAAAAGTATTTCCTTCAGCTATGGTTTCAGGCCACATGCCAAAAATCCCAGAAAACATTCTGGGCAGCAACATAGTGAATCTGAGCCTTTACCGGTCACTGTCTGTTCCCACCTTGTTAAAGTTACAAACAGCAAAAGAGTTGCTTATAATGGAAACGCATGATGATTTTATGCAAATCTAGAGATAAAAGGTTCTCGATAGGAAATCTCCAGTGCACATTACAACCCCATACCACACATGCATTATGTAACGCCCGTCCCAAACACACTCCAATAAAGAGGGCTAGTTTGGGATCTTCAGAATTCAATGACTTTGCCACATCAGAAATGAGAGGAGATGTCATTCTCCGCCGCTTCTTTTTTGCGATCTTTTCCGCACAGCTCTGCGTTAACATATCTGCTGAAGACGACCGGCCAGTTTAGGCTTGACTGTACCTAACAAAGGAGGAGGTAAACCCCTGGGCGGGGGGAGACAAACACAGGCATGCCGCGGTGTAAATACGAGCAGCCCAGCCGAGCGTCCCGCCCGCGCCCGGCTCTTTACAAATTCCTCTCGATTATGCGAACGCCACGTTATCTGGGTGCCTAGCAGATTAAATTCCCAGGCTGGACGGACCGTCCGAGGCTTGTTTATCGCAGGTCACCGACCGGCGTCTGTAACCCAAGCTTAGCTATTTTCGTAATGTACCAGCCGCAGCGCTGGAACTGCCCGTTGCGGTGCACAGCGCGCCTCACGCAAACGCTGCCCGTCGCGCCCACGGAGGAAAAGGCGCGACTCGGGCCGTCCCAAAGTCAGCGCGGGTGGGGGCCGA